GTGATGGGCTCTATCTTTAAGGGGGCGAGAGAATCGGCGTGGGGCGCTGGAAACGGACTGAAATGGGATTGATGTGGGGTTTAATGAGGGGAAAGGGGTTGCGAGAGGGTTGGGGTTGGTGGATGTGGTAGAGGGTTAATCGGTCAGGGTGTGGGTATGTAAATTTTCGCCGCGGAAAACTCGGGTTTTGAGATATCGCCTTATCTTCATCGCCCTCGATGCAGAAATAAAAACCACGAACATACCCCAAATTACCTAAAAAAACCAACAAACCCCACGCCCCTCCCGAGAGGCCCGAGAGAACCTGCCGAAACGGTGTATTCTGGCCCCTTTAACATGATGGCGTCCCGTTTTCTCCTCGCAGGAATTTTGATGAGCCCGGGCGCGAGGCTAGACTGTTGCCGCTCAGCCTCAGTTCATCCTTGTGTGTGTGCCGCTTGTGAGAGAAGACGATGCGCCCAAAAATCCTTAAATAAATATGTGAATAATATCTGTTCTGTGTCAGGATTTACTTCCCCTGGGATTTTTAATGCAGCTTGTCCAAGAAATTCCTCCAAAATGGCTGAACAAACTAATACAGGTATGGTATTAAGAGAGTCCTATTGGCATTCCATTATTGTTTACATCCCATCAAGCACCATTGGCGAGCACCACGTGTTTTATTTTTTTTTCCTCCCCTTATGAGGTGGCGATGGGACGGTGTAGAACCTCTTAGAAACCTCTGTTAGAGAGGATTTAGCCGTCGTAGAAATATATTTATTGAGGGAAAAAGTCTGTCGATCTCTTTAAACTGGTCGTAGGGCTGCCAACATGGAACGGGAGGAAAGGGGGACTGACCCGGTCTTTCGCTCTCACTCCGACGCCACTCCTTCTAAAAAACCCCTTCAATGGCTTTCGAAGACGTGGAGTTAGGTCTGTTATCCCGGGGTGTGATGTATTCCGGGAAAGGAGGAGGAATTATGGGGTTTATAATGGGTTGCGGGTTGGCAGGCCTGTCGTGGTGGCGATCAGCTGGAGCGCCTTGCTCCGACATGACAGATTGTACATGATTATTGTGGCTTTTCTTTCCTCTTTATCGTCTATGGGTTCGGTTTTCTTCCTGTTGGTTGTTTTTTCTAGCTATGGAGGAAGTGGAGGATAGACGGACTCGGGATAAGGGCTCGGCGAGGGTGGTCGGGAGATTGCATAGTCGGGTCCCAGGTCTAGGGGTGGAAGCCAGATGGAATATGAATTAATGTTTGGGTGGAAAATTGAGCCAACGGATTTTTCTCTTTTTTTTCTTTTCCTTTTTTTTTTTTTTTTTTTTGGAAAGCTGGGGGAAATTTATGGGTGGATATTACACTTTGCTCTTTTTTTTTCTTCCTGCGGTTTAGTTCCAATTATAAGTAATTAATGTTTCGGAGGAGAATGAGGCGATAAATTTGTTTCGTAAAAATGGAGGAAAATGTGCTGTTGTTTTCCCGTATTTTTACCTTAAATTTGTATCGTCTCAATTAGTAATACAGAATTATGTTGTATCCATTAATATAATAATTACTTTGCTTTGTAAGAGATAAGGATACAAAACAACAATAAATTATAACTAATTCATAGAAAGAGACAACAGTTTATTCAGAAAATCTCTCGGTCACCGATATCAATAATATTGATATTGATGGATTGCTTGTGACCTCGATTGTGCATGATAAGTAGCTATAGTTAGCGGAAACTATAAATATAGTAAAGGAGGACATGAAGTATACAGAGTAAATAGTCGTGTAGAATAAAAAAGAAAAGGATAAAACACTGATAAAGACACAATAATATTGCATCAGAATACTCATGCGGTTTCAAAGACCCACCCACTGCTGTTGCATCAAGTTTCCGTAGGGGCCAGCAAAAATATAAACTGTCGAAAACCGTAACAGTGTTATATGTAGCATCATTTGATCTCCTGTATTTCAGCAAAAAGCAACAAACCTTTACATGTATTCCGAAATAGTAGAATTCGGACTGCTTCCTCGTATAGTTGTGTATCACTTGGGAGGCCAGAATGCATGTTGTCATTGTTTCTTGGCTTGTATTGGAAGGTTGACATCTATATAGGCTTCGGTGATGAATATGAACTATTGCACTCTCAAACGCCATCATCGTAGTATGTGGTTTCCGAGGAATGTATGGATGTGGACTGGTCGTTATGCATCGCAAGCAGGGTGTCAGTGTAGACATTGTTAGCATTTTAAGATATTATTTTTTTCTGAATGAATATCAAGAACCCAAACTAGGCATTGAATTTTGTTGTGAATGAAAGAAAGAAAGAAAGTTTTAGCAATTTATTATTTTTGTTTTCCTACACATTTTTTGTAATTGGATTAGCAAATCCTATAGTCAAGTTGTATTTGTTTTCTAAATACTATTTCCAGTCACATCAGTTTAGGACACATTTATTACAACAGAAATAGTACATGTAAATCCGTAGATTGTTGAATTCTTTCACATTTCTTTAGTTTTTTATTTTCTTTTATTTTCATATTTATATATATATTTTTTATCTTCTCACATGTGTGTGTGTGTGTTTGTGTGTGCGTGTACGTGCGTGCATGCGTGTGTATGTGTGCGTGTGTGTGCACACAGAGAAAGAGAGAGATTGCAAGTGCACAGGTGTGGGAGTGCATGTGCGCTTGTGTGGGAGTGAATGTGCTTTTTTTCTGAGTGCGAGTGCACTTGCGTTTGAGTGCAAGTGGGCAGGTCTGTGAGTGCGAGTGTGCATGTATGTGAGTGTCAGTGTGTATGTGTGTGAATACATATACCCATGTGTCTGAGTGCGGATGCATGAATGTGTGTGCGTACATGGTCCCTCGTGTGCATGTTTGTATGCGCAGATATAATAACATTGGTTATATTCTATCCCAATCCAACTTAAACATCCTGTGGTCTGTAATAAAGGCTTACAACCATGCTCTTATCCTGTCTTCCTTTGGCACTCTACCAAAGATGCATAATCTCCCTTGTACATTATGTTAAGGTAGAGCTTAGAGTGGTTCCTGATTTGACAGTTAACAACTTGGGAGGTCTACAAACTCCTATCAGGCCAAATTGTATGTGGTGGAGATTTTTTGGCCTTTGCTGAAGTACCAGAGGGAAGATTACCGAGAATTGTGGGAGAAGTTGAGGAGGCTCACAAAAAATTTGTAGACGATTATAGTTTGTTTGATTTTGTTTTGTTTGTTTTATATATATTAATTTTTCATTCTCAGTTTCCATTCCTCAATTACTTATATATCCTCTTATTTTGTTTGTGTGGTGATATATCATATACATTTGTTTGGGAGACATAAAGGAGCTATTGATTTTCTTCATTACCCTGTCCACCATTCTCCACACATACAGGTCTGTTCATATTTTTACTCTCAAAAAGAGCATGATTGATTTTATTTTCAGTTAGTGAGAGATATTAGTTTACAGTGATTCCCCCCCCCCTTCCCCTCCAACAAAAAAAATATATATATATTTTTTTTTAGATTTTTATTAGTGTGTATGTGTATATGTGTGGATATGTATGTATGCATTTATTTGTGTATTTGTATTTTCTTTCTTTTTTCTCGTGAAAACGTTTTTATCTGGAAGAAAGAATAGATTAGTGGACCCTTGCTGTGTATAGATTATCGTACAGCATTTGAATTAAATATATGTGTGTGCAGTGAGCACAAATTGACCAAGCAGTAAGAAGGAAATTTGAAATAGTGAGCAATTGCAAAATACATACGGTTATAAGTGCATATGAAAAAAACAAAAGAAAGAACAAGAAAGTATGTGTATATATGAAGTTGAAAACAGTTATTATGATACATTTTTACCAAGAAGTATTTTGACATTTAGAAATAATACTTTGCATCAACCCAAGGAATGAGAAGGGTCTCATCCAATTACTAACAGTTAGCAGTTATGTAATTCTTTTGATATCATTTGCATCCTAGTTTAATGTAACTTGTAATTACTAACTTGTAATATGTAACATTTCCACAAGTTCATCGTGAAAACTTGGAATATGATGCTCTCTCAAGTGTGCTTTTATATTGTTTTTCACTCGTATACAAAGCCATTGGTCAGATTGGTTATGAGAATGAAATTCCGAAGGTAAGCCAAATTTTCATCATGGGATTGGCCAAGTTCTCATTTATTAGATCCTACAATCCTTGATTTTTCAAGCATAGTAACCAAGGTGACATAATTCGATCTGTAAACGAGCATTTGTATTTTTATCAAAAAAGCCGAGCGTTTACAGAGACTACAAGTTCCCATATTTGAAAAACGTTCCACCTGCGTCTCACAAATTGTCTTCATTGCTAAATAGAAATGCTAAAACCCAGTGTTTTGATAGGTGTACTTTTATCATAATGTGTGACCATCTTTCCAGTTCATATGTATATTATGTTTACCTCAGTCGAAGCTGAATGAAGCCAATTGAGCCTTCACTGTCTGTGGATATGAGGTTTTACCTATTAGCAAGAAAGTTTTGTTTATGCCTCGTAATGGCAAAGGACATTAATTAACATTTTCTTTGGCAAACCAGTGTGGTGTTTACATTACTCCTTGCTAGTGTATGTGTTTACTTGCTTGCTAGTGTATGTGTTCATGTTTGCTTTGTTTTGTGATTTTTTATATATTATATTTATTATGATTTCTCACTGTATATGTCAAAAGACATCCAGACATGAAAGTTTGAGGTTGACGTTGAATTATTTTGTGTGTGTGCGTGTTTGTGTGTGTGCGTGTCTGTGTGTGTTTGTGCGTGTCTGTGTGTGTGTGCGTGTTTGTGTGTGTGTGCGTGTTTGTGTGTGTGTGTGTGTCTGTGTGTGTGTGCCTGTTTGTGTGTGTGTGTGTGTGTGTGTGTGTGTGCGCGTGTGTGTGTGTGTGTGCGCGCGTGTGTGTGCGTGTGTGTGTGTGTGTGTGTGTGTGTATAGTGTGTGTGTGTGTCTGTATAGTGTGTGTCTGTATAGTGTGTGTGTGTGTGTGTGTGTGCGTGTCTGTGTGTGTGTATGCAGTTGTACTTGTCTGTTTTGATGCATAAGTGCCCCTAAATATAAACTGTTTAGATGTGTTTATGATGTCTGTTGGCAAGACATTTACATCCAACAACTGTGACCCGGGAAAATTGTAGATCATTAGTATTCAGCTAGGACAGCAGTACAATAAATCCAAATCAGAAATCAGCTACACAGCTAGTGCATACTGGAATGGAGCAGATGCATCGTCATCCCCACCACCTCGTCCTCATCCTCTTCCTCTTCCTCTATTACATTTTGTTACGAGATGATGGACCATAGTTTCAAGTGTAATCCATATTTTCTAGATGCCTTTTGTACCAAATAGAAAATTAGATATTGCCAGAGATTGGAAAAGGTTGTGTTTAGTCAAGGGCTTTATTTTTTTTTATTTTTTTTTTTACTATGATGTTTATGTAACTGTACTGTATTATCACCTGTTGTTTACATTACGTTTAGAGATTATGAAGCTTCAAATGAGAATATATATGCATTCTGTTGCTTAAAAAAAGTGTCAAACAAAGCAGTGAAATGGTGAAGGTTTTGACATCAGCTC